CCGCCGTCCTGGGCCACTCTTTTAGCCCTGGAAGCCTCTGGGCTTAATGTTCTAGATGTGATCAAGTGTTCATTTGGAAACGGTAATCTACTCAAAATGTCTTAGCTAGGTGATCACATAGAAACTAACTCAAAATATAAACTTGCGTAACGTGAAAAGTTTTGAAGCTTGGCATATCTATATGTACTAACTACACGAAAAGGTTGAGACGCAAAATTCATTTTAAAAATTCATACGAAAATCACAAAATTTATTACATGCATGTGTACTAGAAGACAAATTCAGAAATTTTATCTTGTAGTGCATATAGATAGATGAAATCTGTCATTTCCGTTTGAATGTTTCAAAAATGATTTTGTGTCTCAACCTTTTCGTATGAGTATGTGGGGATATGACCCCCGGTATTCATAAGACAAGACATGGGCCGTACTATCAGAGGTGGCCCAGCCCACAAGATTAAGGCGTGCACGGCACTGGTCGACGTGCACCGCAAGATATTGTATAGTACCAAATATGATACTTTCCTTGTAACCCTACCCCTCCAGAGTATATAAGGAGATGCATGGGTCCCCTAGTCGACATCTATATACATCTCATATTCAATACAATACAACAAAGACACATGACATAGGATATTACGTCGATCAAACGGCCCGAACTTGTCTAAATCGTTGTCTCTACGCCTTGTGTCATCATCTGGTTCCTATCACGCACACCTTCACCGATCAATCTACCTTCGTGGGATACCACTCGAAGGACTGCCGAGCATCTTTTGTCGGCAGAGTACATATATATGGATGCACTATAGATGCGTCAAGTTTCAAAATTTTGCGCGTTACACAAGTTTTGATTTTAAATTAGTTTTCATGTTCCCTATCAAAGACGTGGTTTGTATGACTAATCCTACCCAACTAGTTGGGTAGGTTCACTAATATACCGGAATCTCGTGATCAGTTCAACCATTTGATATATGCGCTTATTACCTTACTTGCTCTCGATCGGCCTTTCTGGCGAGACAAATATTACTAAACATGGCGCTTGCTAAGCATAAAGATTGGGTGGTTGTATCATTCACCTGCACAGCTGCACGCCTTATTTCTTACCAAGGTGATCAGTCATGGGCTAATGGGCTATAGCTTGTTGAATGCATGGTCATCCACGTACACGGAGAACCGGTCGTTTTGGCTGCTAGCGTGCAGCTGGGAGTAGGGCGCAACCATACAACGGATTAGAGAGCTTAACATTTTGGACCGTCTGTAGCACAGCCATTTAGTTCCATTGGAAAAAAGAAAAAAATAGAGGAATCGTGTAGGATTGAAATCATAGGATTCAATCCATAGGATTCAAGATGTCGTCATTATATTCCTAAGTTTGTTCTATTCCTGCATTTCTATAATCATGCGTTCCAAAGAGGCTCTTATTGTCACAAAAAAATGCTGCGGAGATTTTTTTTCCAGTTTGTGCAAAAGAAAAAAAACTGCATAATCCCTATATATATGCAGATGTGTTCAGTCTCTTACATCCTCACATTTACCGTTCTCTGTCTAGCATCTCTCTGACTCATTTACGTTTTCGTTCAAGCACACCGGCATGGCAATGTTTTGTACCGAAATTTTGCAAATTTTTATAGCTACACTAGATATCCAATAATTCTTTCACTCCTCGAGTATAATGTATGAATTGAATTGAATGTGCTCCACATCGCAGTACCCATCGACCCGTATATATTCTGCGTTAAAAACAGTATGCAGATGGTATGCCTTTTTCATGTGGCCAACCGAACCTAATATTTGGCTTGAACAATGCAAGATCGTGTGTCCTTTTTCTTCTAAATATGATAACTAGTTTTTTTTATTGATTTTGTATAGATATGCCCATTGGTTGTAACCAACGAGATATCTCAAGGTTAAAGCCCATTCCTCAACTAGATGAGTGAGGTTGCTTGTTCATTTCAACTTGCTTTCACACGTCTCTTCCTTTTGACGATCTCTCGACTACCTTTTCTATACGGAGGAGGATCATCTGGCGAGCAAATTCAGCGGCCGGCTTAATTTAGTCTTTTGTCTCCACGCGGTTAGGTAGCTTGAGATTAGCTCAAGCTTCACTTTGTGTAGTGGGTAACCACCAATTTGTCTCTTCTAATTTTAGAAAAGAAATTTTATTTGTTCTCCTATAAGAGTTTTGCACAACCAAAATATTACTATAGTTCTAAACTTCGGCTATTTCTAAGAACTCTCAAAGAACAAAACCAAGCCAAGATGCAACTTAAGCACTAAGTCTCTTAGCGAACTGATTGTAGATCAGTTGGTTGGGTTCCTTGTGGTGGAACCTATCCATCCTGGTTTAACTCCTCGACTTGGCACGGGTGCTCGTATTTTTCTAGATTTATTTCAGAATTTAACGGCGTTATGCTTTTAGTGGTAGGCGACGTCCCCCTAGATAACAAGACGCCCGTGGTGACTTCGTGAATCTTGATATCTACCAGCTCAGTCCTTTGAATGTGTTCATAGGGGTATGGTTTGCGTACATGTGTTTATAGAGGTAAGTGTGCATGCGTGTTGTGGGCGTCTATATTGTGTTGTGTAATTCTTAAAAAAACACTAAGTATCTTAAAGATGAATAGGGTTTGCGTATGTGTTTTCATAGGGGTAAGTGTATGTGCGTGTTGTTGGCGTCTACGTTGTACTAAGTAATTCTTAAAAAATACTAAGTCTCTTAAAAGATGAGCACATCGATACATGACGAAGATCTCTATGGTTATGGACATACTATAGTGTGTGACAAGCCCACTTTAGAAGAGACATGTTGCTCTATTTCTGCATCATGTTTCAGAAGCATATCCAATATGTTGCCCTGAAATAAAATGACCTACCAATATGACCATGTTCGCTTGAATTTATCAGCCGTACTGTTTCAATAAAATAACAGTGTTTTTCTCTCACAACAAATCAGCATCAGCATCAGTATTAGCCGTTTTTCCAGCCAGCCAAACAGGACCATGAGTATAACCTTATTTTTTTTTTATCAAAGGTCACAACATTTCTACAAAGCTGCATAGAGCAAAAAAATTTGCACCTGCTCCCGCACAAATTTGAGATTACATATACCGATACCGATCGATGTACTCGTTGAAACCAAGGAGTAGTCCCACGACATGCCTCTAATAACTTGGGTGTCCGAGTGACCATGATACGTTTTTGTTTCTAAACCATGCATAGGAACTATGTTGGTATGTACTACTCGCCATGGCAGTAATGACTTATTAGCCACATTAACTAAGTGGTGACCATACTAAATGATTTTTAATGAAAAAGTTTCAGTTACAAAGTTTTAGATCTTGTAGAGCTCTATAATTTTCATAAAGGGTGTGTCTCAATTCGAGAGATTTTAAAACTTTAAATAAATTGAATATCAAAATATGAGAATTTTAAAACAAATAATTGTTACTCTAAATGTTTTCAAATAAAAAAACTTGTCAACTACGAAGTTGTAAATTGTGTTGACAACTATAACTTTGTTATAGATCATGTCAACGTCAAATGTCGTTTGAAATTTCTAAATTTTAAATTTAGAAATCTTAGAACATGCAATGAATATTTAAGAATTTAAATTTCTTCAAATCAGAAACTTGTTAACAACAAAGCTGTAGATCATGTAGATCAATATTTAAGGTTGTTTAAAAATTTAAAATTTTAAATCTAAAAGCTTAAAATGATTTTTTTTGTTGAAGCACTAGTGCTTCTTTAATTCATTCAAAATCTTCTTTTTTAGTTTATTAGAAAGTAGACTCTAAATCACAGGCTACATTCTAAATTATTACAATGGCGTAAAAGTTGTTTCTACGCTCTAGATGTTTAATTCGTCTACCAGGAAAAAATATTTGACTACTAGTATTTTTTTATAATTATATATCGCTTATAGTTAACTATTAATGTATATATGCTATATCATTTTTAATAGAAATATATAGATTTATGTAAAGTAACAACTTACATAATTTACCGTCGTGAAGTATTGGTATAATTTTAAATGAATTGTCACTGTAATTTATAGGTGATTCGTTAAGATAACATTTTCATGATTAATAAATTATAGAAAATGTATTTATTGTTTATGCATCCATGTATAAATATTTGGTCTACATGGTGGGCAAGTATGTACAATTACATTGAGCTAATTTTTATATATAATAGTGCTACAGGTAGGCCTTTTTAGAAACATATATGGTCATTAGATTTTTGGTAATTTAGATTAGATTAAGATATTATATTATTTTATTTTAAATATGATAAAAGTGGATAATTTATTCAAATTCAAAGTCTATTGTAATTAACGAACTAAGCATACTGGTTGGGTTCTCATGGTGGAACCTGTCTATGCGGAATTCCGGATTTAAGTCATTGATTTGATACGGATGCTCGTATTTTTCTAAATTTTATTTTAGGATTTAACAGCTTTGTTCTTTCGGCGGTAGGGGACGTACACGTAGACAACGAGACGTTTGTGGTAACTTTGTCAATCTTAAGATTTGTCGGTCTAACTGAGTTCTGTGAAGGTGCTAATAGAGGTAAAGTGTGCAATATACTCCCTTCGTCCGAAAAAACAAAATTCTAACTCTGAATCTGGACAGGACGTGTGTCCAGATTAAGAGCTAGAATTGTGTTTTTTTTAACGGAGGGAGTAGTACTGTACTAGCAATACTCCGGTAAGATAAGTGCCGGGCTAGCAGCTACCTCTCCTATATAAATCCACACTCCGTGTGCCATCTGCAATTCGAAGTGCGTCGTGTCCAGATTCAGAGCTAGAATTGTGTTTTTTGGATGGAGTACACTAGTACTGTACTGTAATACCCCAGTAAGATAAGTGCCGGGCTAGCAGCTACCTCTCCTATATAAATCCACTCCGTGTGCCATCTGCAGTTCGAAGTTCGAACCAAAGCAAGTGCTTCCTTCTCTCTACTCTACGCCCTCACTCACGCGCACGCACTCGTCGCTCGCAACATGGTCAAGGAAGGCACCACCGACGACGCCAGGCATGGGCACTGCCGTGATGAGGTGACCATCACGGCCGTCTCGACGGTGGCGCCGGCGCTGCCGGTGCAGGAGCACCGACTGCCGCTGTCGAACCTGGACCTCATCCTCCCGCCCATCGACGTCAGCGTCTTCTTCTGCTACGGGGACCCCGCCGGCGGCCGCAGCCACCACCCGGCCACGGTCCTCAAAGCGGCGCTGGCCAAGACGCTGGTGGCGTACTACCCGATGGCCGGGGAGGTGGTGGCCAACGCGGCGGGCGAGCCGGAGCTGCTGTGCAGCAGCCGCGGGGTGGACGTCGCGGAGGCGACCGCCGACGGCACCCTGCTGCGGGACCTGCGCCTGGGCCTGCCCGACGAGAGCGTCGAGCCGCTCGTGCCCAAGAAGAAGGCCGGCGTCATGTCCGTGCAGGTTCGATCCATTTATATATCCTTAAAAAAACTTTCATCGCTACAAAAATAAAATAAAATCTACAGTTACATGCACGGAACTAGCAGTACAAATTTACTTTGGAAATTGGAAAAAACACAGTAGTACAAATTTACTTTGGAAAAAAAAAATACAGTTCGACTGCGACGACTGGACTGGCTGGTAACATGGCATCATGTGGCAATATAAATACTCCAGTTACACGTACATGTACGTGCATCGTGTGTGTATATATAAGAATAGTTAGAATTTAGAACAAAAGCTTGCTAATAGATCCGAATATTCGATCGTCAGTAAACCGTTTAACCGTGTAATCATGGTGAAACGCTACGGGTGTCTCCCATGTTGACCGTGCACCAGGATTGAGGGGCCGCTTGGTTACGGCCCATAGCTGGCTAGGCGGCGTCGCTGTTGTGGCGCCCAAAATGCACGTTACAATTTGTGGTGAGAATTGGACCCGTTTGAACTGCAGATTTCTATGGCCGTCTACGTCTAATCATGAACCAAATATCTGCATAAATTTTGGTGGCGCGTCTCAACTGTGGCGTGGCTTTCCGAGGCCGGGGACAAAAACGTGTGTTTCAAAGAACTCCATTTACGAGAAACGGACGTGCACCATGTACGTGCGCCATGCGCGTGGTTACCTACGTGTACGGTTACAGAATTTTATGGTTCACCAACTCACGAAGATTCATTTCGATCCACCCAAAGTTCACCTAAGAAGAAAAGAAAAAGAAAAAGGTGATCTCCGTTGACAGATTTTAGGGAGATTCCATGTGGCAGTCAACTACTTCAATCATGCATCCAGTGCTCCAACTACACATTCTTTAACTTAGCAGTACGTCATGCCGCGCCACCTCACCAAGCGTCCGGCTTTTGCATGGAAACGTTCTTTTCCTTACGACTTCGACAATACGGCATTTTCTAGCTTGCATTGGTACGTAGGGCACTTTCATGTTTCATCAACCATCCTACCAGCTTTTAAATATTTGCACAAAAAAATTATTTAGGCCTTATTTGGATGCATGTGTATTCACTTCAATCCACATGTATTGGAGTGGATTGGAATGGAACTTAGTTTAATTCCACTCCAATCCACTTGAACACATGTGGATTGAGATGAATACATATGCATCCAAACAAGCCCTTACATGGGTACACACATATTATTATGTCCGACTAACTACACTAACTTGTGGGAACCACCGCCTTAGAGCTTTGTTTGTGTGTTAGAGTGGTTTGATGTGGAGTTTAGTTTAAATTTCACACCGAATCACTTAAACACATATGGATTAAGGTGAATATATGTGTATTCAAACAAGACCTTACGTGGAAGCAAAGGTAAGGGTTTCTACATTTCCACCCATTAGCTAGCTAATAGGCTACTAGGGTTCAAATCCTGCTGGTGTTTAGGATTTGCACACATACAAGCTAAGTGATTTTAATAATTTATTGGTAGACATGTTGTATGAGGCAATCTCATGGGTGTGCAATTGGTGGTGGATTGTTGTTTTTGTTATAACAAAAAAAGGGGGCTTCTTGGTTTCGAGCGAGCTAATTTTGCAAAAACCATCAATTTTTTTTAGTAAGAGTTGCGGTATTCAGCTTCCGATCCTAACACAAAGATGCAGCTGAATGAATAGACTTTGTGCACTTTTGCTATAACGAACCAAGGTTTTTAATTTTGCAAAATTTCGCCACCACCGAATTACAACAGCACAGCACTAAAAAATTAAATCTACTTGTATACATGCACAATATAAACAATTTGCTATAATCATAGCATCATCATTCATCACTGTAGTTTTCTTTCAGCACATGCGCGCAGGTGACCAGGTTCAACATGCGGCAGGCACCGTCGTCGCGGTGCACCGTCGTCGGGTGCACCTTCGACCACCGCGTCTGCGACGCCTACTCCTTCAACATGTTCCTCGTCGCGTGGGCCGCAGCCGCCCGCGGCAGCTCAGCGCCTCCGGCCCCGTCCTTCCACCGCTCGTTCCTCGCGCCGCGTGAACCAGCACCGCTCAGCTGCACCGCCGGCAACCTCGCGGATCGCCTCTTCGTCCCCGTGAGCCTCGCACCGGCCTTGCCAGACACAGCCGCCACCAACCGCATCTACTGCGTGTCCGCCGACGACGTCGCGGCGCTTCAGGCTTCGGCGGGGTCCGGGCGCACGAAGCTGGAGGCGTTCACGGCGCACCTGTGGCAGCTCTACGCCAAGGCCGCAGCGGCCTCTCGGCGCCAGCAGCAGTCGTGCTGCATGGGCGTGGTGGTGGACGGGCGCACTCGCCTTCGCCGCGACGGCGCCATGGAGGCCTACTTCGGCAACGTGCTGACCATCCCCTACGGCGTCATGGGTACCGACGCCTTGCGCGGCATGACGCTCGCCGACGTAGCGGGCGACGTGCACCGGTGGGTGGCGGAGGCCGCGACCGGCGAGCACTTCCGCGAGCTCGTCAACTGGGTGGAGGCGCAGCGGCCGGAGCCCACGGTGGCGAGGGCGTACCTGGGACGCGGCCACGGCGGCGAGGACGCGATGGCCTGCGTGGTGTCCTCGGGGATGCGGCTCCCCGTCGGCGAGGTGGACTTTGGGTGGGGCCGGCCGGCGTTCGCATCGTACCACTTCCCCTGGCCCGGCGGCGCCGGGTACGTGATGCCGATGCCGAGCGCGCGCGGGGACGGCGACTGGGTGGTGTACGTGCACGCGGCGCCGGAGGTGGTGGAGGTGATGGAAGCCGAGCCGACGGTGTTCAGAGCGCTGGAGGAGGCTAACTACCTGTTCGACTAGGCGAATTGAATAATTAAGCGCGCGCCTGGGCGGCTGGGATGCATGCTAGCTGCTGGAACGTGATGGCGCCATCGTGATATCGTCGTCCGTGCATGTGTCATGTGTGTACGTGTCTGGTTCGTGGTTTACGTTGTTGGGTTCCATCCATGTTACTGTGTACGTGTGTGCCGTGTAACACGTACGCAATACTGTGTAGGGTGTATGTATACGTTAGTGTGGAACTTCGGGGTAAAGTGTAATTAATAAGGTCTTGTTTGGATGCGTATGTATTCATCTCAATCTACATATGTTGAAGTGGATTGGAGCTACACTACTACACAAACTATAACCGCGGCGGGCGTTTTCGGTTTTCCGCGGCGGGCAAAGCCGTCCGCCGCGGCCTAGAGGCCACGGTAAATCGTGGCTTAACCGCGGCGGGCGGCCTTGCCCGCCGCGGTTAATGTTTTAAAAAAAACCCAGGAGCCCGCCAACGAGCCCATTCTTAGCCCACCGGCGTGCCCGTTTCCAACCCAATAGTCCGAAACCCTACCGAAACCCTAGCGCCACCGGGATCCGATGCGAGCTCGCCTTGAGCTCCACCTCGCCGGATCCGCCGTCGACAGGCCCACCAGCCGCCGGGAGAGGGGCGCCAGATGTGGATTCACGCTGTGGAGCCACCGGTGGCCGGATCGACGCCGTGGAGCCGCTGGTGGCCGGATCGACGCCGTGGAGCCGCCGGGTCCGGATCCACCCTCGCCGGGGACGGATACGCCCTCGCCGGGGCAGATCCGCCGCCGTGGCCGTCGCAGGAGGCGGATCGAGACGACGCCGCGCCGCTGTAGCCTGGTGGAGGACGGGCCGCCGCGACAATCTCCGCCCGTGCGAGCCGCCTCAGCGCACCGTCCTCCCTCCACGCGAGCCACGCCACGGCGCCGCCCTCCACCCGCGCGAGCAGCGCCACCGCGCCGCCCTCACTCCGCGCGAGCCGCGCCACGGCACCGCCCTTTGCCCGCGCGAGCAGCGCCACCGCGCCGCCCTTCGCCCGCGCGAGCCGCGCCACCACGGCCGAGAAGAGCGCCTCCGCCGCCGGGAGAGATAGAGGATGGGGAGTGTAGGGGTGGGGGTCGAGGGAGAGGGGCTCGTCTCTCAGGATGCAGCGCGTGGGAAGGGAGTGCGGCCACGTCTAAGAAGAGTGAGAGGGAGGGCGAGGGGGTGAGAGGAGTGAAAGGGAACCCTAAGTGGTGGCTTATATATGAAGACAACTATCGGGCCGGCGCTGGGCCATTTGGGCCTTGCCTTTTTCCGTGGCGGGCCTTTTAGTGTGCCCGCCACGGTAAATCGATTTACCGTGGCGGACGCGCTAAGATGTCCGCTGCGGTAAATGGGGATTTACCGCAGCGGGCAAATAAGGTTGCCCGCTGCCGTAAATCATTTACCGCAGCGGGCGTCTCAGTGGCCGCCGGCCACCGAATTACCGTGGCAGGCAAAAACGGTGCCCACCACGGAGGCCAATTATGCAACGCTGCGCAAGTTCATTTCTGTAGTAGTGCTAAATTCTATTCCATTTCACTCCAACATATGTAGATTAAAATAAATACACATGCATCTAACAAGCCCTAAATGGAGTGTTCCTGCTTCCTATCATGAGGGAAATCGTCGGGTAAAAAAACACCATAACAATTATAATTTACACATGTGTTTTGTCACATCTAAAATATAATATTTTGAGTGTGATCGTGATGACCCACCCCAGAGAGTCAGCTAAGTCCGCGATATGGCATTGTGGCTCATATTCAGCCCGCCACATGTTGGGGGTCCTTTCCTCCCTGCAAAGCATAAAATGATTACGTGCTAATCAGCAAATGTGTTTACGTAGCGAAGAAGAAAATGACTAGGTGTGCAAAAAAAAAGAGGATGTGCAAAAACCTGCATGCAGGGTCACCTACGTTCATGTTATGACCCTCAAGCCTCCCCTACCGCCGCTGATCTCATGGAGCCCCTCTAAAGCCTTTCCAAAATTTTTGCCATTGTTATTTTGAGAGAGAGAGACCGGTGGTTGAAGATGAACTTAACTTTCATCCTAGATCTGTCACTGCTTTAACCAGCATGCTTCCGCTCAGATGTATTGTGGTTGTCACGACCTTCGGCGAGACAGAACATCTTCCAGCTGTACACGATGGTCATGGTGACGACGATCTCGACGACCAGGTTCATTTGCACAGATCTGTTGTCCAGGTTCATATACGAGCTGTTTTCATGGCGGCCTGGCGAACGACTACGGCGGTAGTCGTGGTGTCGCCGCTCGGATTCACGATGAACACTCTCATGATGAGTTGGTGATCGGCTAAGATGATGGTTGCCAGATGAAATGGCCCGTCGACCAGGCTCTTCATGGTCAGCGACCGATCATAGCGATTGTAGGGCCGAGCGGGAGTGATCCGCTGCCGGTTCCATGAACGCGGTGGTCGGGAATGCGATGATCTTCCCCATCTTGGCCTCGCCATTGGGTTATTGGGAAAACGACCGGATGCCATCTGATGAAAATTATAAACAAAGATAAATGTAACTAATCTTTTGAAAATAGAATACATCCTATTGTTATTATTATTAGTGATGATCGGAGTCTACTATAATTCTGTACCAGTACTCTAGTGGTACTGGTAGCATGACGGAGCCGCTGCCGGGGCCTCAAATCACTGGCTACTTCGGCTCCTCCATTTTGACAGTTATATTTTGCCAGAGCCAGCTAGCACCGTGCTACGGACTACGGTACAGCAGCGAAGCACAGTACACCCGCGTAGGGAGATTTTTTTTTATTTTTAACACTTTTTAAACTAATTTTAAATATAACACTGTTTTATTTTTTTCCCCAAAATTAACACTTTTGACCGCGCCTATTGCCATGGCGCGGCGAAACGCCTGTGCCGCGCCATGCATGGTGGCGCGGCGGGAGGATGACGTGGTGTCGTCGTGACAGGGTTTGCCGCGCCACCCATCTTGGCGCGGCTGTGACGCGCCAGCGCTGGTGGCGCGGTAAGGCCCAGTAAAAGCCCGCGACGCCCCTACTACGCCCGCCCTCGCCCTCGACCCCAGCGCACTCCGTCGCCGCCTGCGCCACCGCCATTGGCTCCGCCCAGCGCCGCCGCCTCGCCTGCGCCAGCCGCCGCCGCCTCGTCAGTGTTGGGGCGCCAGCGCCGCCGGTCGGCGAGGCCGCCAGCGGCCATCTCCTTCGGCTTGGGTGACCCCAAAAGGTCCCCGCTCATATCAAGGTAGCTCCCTCTTTCGATTTCTTGTTATTATGAATGTTATTTTAGTTAGGGTTAGTGATTTATGATAGTTAGGTTAGTGAATTTGTTTATTTAGGTAAGTAGTTTTTAGGGTTTAGGTTGTGTGTTGTAGTATAGTTAAGGTTTGATTAGGTAGTTAGGGTTTAGGTTACTGTTAGTTAGGACTTTGGGTTTAGGGATTGATTAGGTATTTATTATTTAGTTAGTTTATAGTAATAAAGGTTGTCAGTATAGATACTAGTTTTCAAGTGTCGGTACTTAGTAGTGCGTGATACGGCGATTTGGATGACTTGATGAAGTTTCGTCAAATGATTATTTTTCTAGTGAAGTTGTTTAATATGTCTGTTAATATTACTTTCAATATATCCATGTGCTTTCATATTGTGTTCGTATTGCATAACAAGTAGTTCAAATTTTGCAATGCTATATAATGTTAATTTGAATATTGTTAATTTGAATACTATAACCCTTTGTTTATCAATTTGTAACAGAATGACCCCTCCCACGTAGCACCAGTTGTACCCCCTTCTTGAGGTGGAGTACGACGACCCGCACCGAGCACACTTCTTGACCGACACCGACGCAGAGGTGCCCTTGCCTCCTTTGAGGCTCCGCACGCACACCAGGGCGCACCAGTGGGACGAGCATTACGCGTCGTACATACGGCGTGCCGGCTTCCTCGAGCTTGTCCGTGTTGTCAACTACGGTCTTCTGCCTCTTGACCCAGCACTACTTACTACAGTTGTAGACAGGTGCGAGTGCCTTCATTGTACGTAAACATTCTTATAATAAATTTGAGGTAACTAACAGTCGTTCTATTCTTATAATAGGTGGAGGCTTGAGACCCACACGTTCCACCTACCTTGCGGCGAGATGACCTTGACCATACAGGACGTGAAGGCTATCTTTGGCCTTCAGTTGGGGGGACTTCCAGTGATAGGTATAGTTGACAATGATCACTGGATGGAGCTGGTGGCTCAGTTCACTAGCTTTCTTCCACCGGACGACGATGTTTCCAAGAAAAATAAGTGAGCAATTTAAGCCTATTTAATATTTGCATTGTTTTTCTACAGCCATCGGGTCTCATTTTCTTTGGTGAATTTCAGAAAAAGTTCCGGTGTTTCATCGTCGTGGATTATAGAGCGCTTTGATTACTTGGACCCACAGGCTTATGAGGCTCAGATCGATAGGTTCGCTAGAGTGTGGCTCTAGCACTTCCTTGGTGCTTTCCTATTCCCAAACGTTTCGGGCAACACCATCAGCTGGATCTTTCTTGACATACTATGCCAGCCGTGGGATAACATAGCGGCGTACAGCTAGGGCAGCGCAGTCCTGGCATGGACGTATCGACAGCTATGCATTGCCTGTCGTCGCACCTCAAGGTATGTGAACCTTGGGGGTTGCTCCTACCTACTCTAGGTTTGATGTTGGGAACAATGGCCTATTAGGAGGCCCCTTGTTATTGGTTTTCCTGTAAGTACTTTGGTTCACTATATTCTTTGAGGCAGTTATATATGATGAAATTATTAATGGCTAATTCATTATCGTGTTCAATATAGCATTGGAACAGGCAGAATAAACTGCCTACAGCTCTGTATATTTGGACGCAAGCAGAGTTAGTCAGAGGGAATGCGAGGCGCAAGTATAGGGAGTACACAGACTGTCTCGACGTCCTAACACAGCACCAGGTTATGCTCTCTTTACTATCATATATGTGTCTTGTTCGATGTACAC